TTTCAGCTGAGTAGGCGGCTCCCAGCGCTTCGTGCCAACGGCAAAGCAGGCTTCGCCTTCCAGAGGCACAGGCTCCCCGTCGGCAGCTCTGGAGATGTCTGTGGGGGTCTGGGGCTGGCAACTCCATGGGGGTGGGCTTTTTTGGTTTTGCAGAAAGGAAATGGTTTCCCCCCACATTTCACCCTGCTGTGCAGCCTAATGAGGTTGCAAGGTGGGATCTGCAGGGGGATGGACACAGGGTGGGCAACCTTTCCCCAGGCTTACACCACCCTAGTCCTTCACCCATGGGGCTGAGCCACAAGGAGATGTACCCTCCACCTTCCCCTGCCAATACTGCAGCAATGGTGAATGAGGCGGAGTGATGGAGGTTTTACCCTGTGGACAAAGCCCTCTGGAAACCAGACCATCCTTTCCTCACCCACTGCAAAGAGCCACCAGCCAAGCGGGGGGATACCACCAGCTCAGATGGGTGGCCTGGATGGAGAAGGCAGCACCCCTACTTGCCTAGAAGGGCTTAGCCCCGCTGGGGACTGTAGCAGTAGATCTGAGGACAAATACAGCAATTGCTAAGGTGCTTCCTCCAGGTAAACATCCTCTGGTGGGTGACACCAAGGCCGAAAGTGTACCCAATACACGTGTGCCCACCCAAGTCCGCACCGCTCCCAGGAACATCCTCTCCCTTTCCCACCTGGGCTCTAACTGCAGCCACACGTGGTACCCAGCGGCTGCGACACCAGGACCCTCACCTTCACCCCAGGCAGCGCCTGCCCAGGGGGACTCACCCAGCACCCAGAGCTGGAGACCTGATGGGAGAACCAGGAGAGGAGCACATCTCCTCTGGATGGGGCTGAACCAGCCCCTCCATCCTGCCCCCAGCCCTGGCTTTCTCTGCTCCCCCCAGCACAGCCCCCTGGTTGGGAACAGCCTCCTCTTCCTCCTCCAGCACAGCGGGCAGGGAGGGGGCACAGCCTGACCGACACTGCCCACCTCATCCAGGGAACAAAGTCACCCTAAATACCCACCCGGTGTCCCCCACCCCTATTTCCAGGGCTGGTATCCCCCCAATTCGTCATGCCAGAAGGGGAGCACGCAGCTCCCCAGACCACAGTGAGACACCGCACAGAGACCTGACGAAAGCTGAGACATGCCAGGCCAAGGGGAAAGACAGATCCGCTGTGGATCAAATCATCAAAACGCTGCCTGGGGCAGGATGAGGCGACCCAGGGGTTCCTATTCCCATGGAAAGCACAGGTCTCTTTTTTCGGTTATACAAGATGAAACCACAGGGATATAAATGTCGCTGCCTCTTTGAGAGCATTAATGAAAATAAACCCATTTAATAGTTTGCAGATGCCGTTTCTGTAAACCTAAAAAAAGCAGGGAATAAATATTTCTTCACTAAATATCTATATGTATATATATATTTGAAAACATTCGCTCCTAATCTTAGGGCCCCTCCTTCGCCGTGCTCTTGGCAGCTTATCGCAGCTTGCCAGTCAACACCGAAGACTCACACTCACCGAGACGAGATACCAATTGCACCCACGGAGGGGTAGCAGGACAGAGGGATTATTGTAATCCAAGCTCCCTCTCGCCCTTTCTATTTGTACATTTCAATTACTTGTAACAAGATCCATGGTGGATTATTTTATTTTATTTTTTTTTTTGTCTGTGTTTTGGAAATTTTTGTAAGGTTTTTGTAAAAACAACTCTTGTGAAATAATGGAGGAATAAATATTTTACTGAGTAGAGACGTGTCTGTGCACACGACAGGGACGTGGCTCGCTCCTTGCTGGCCACCACGGTTTCCCCACCTGCCCTGAGCAAGGGGACAAGAGCCACAACCCTGCCACCTTCACCTTGCGTGACGGTGGCATCTCACAGCTTCTCCCCAAGACCTGGATTTCATCCCAGGCTCCCAAAGAGCGAGGGGTCCACATGTCCCGGGAGAGGGGCAGGAGCGAGGAGGGGAGCGTGTCAAGGCCCCGTGGAGCTGGGACAGGGCGGAGGGAGCACGGTCCCACAGCAGAGCTGCTGGGCTTCCCTCTGGCTTAGGGACCCTGAGGCTGATGCCTGGAGATGGTGGGAATTCAAGGGGTCCATCAAACAGCCTAACAAAGGTCCCGGCACAACAGCTAATTGCGATGCCTTGCTGGATCTGTCTTACTTCACTCTGGGATACCGAGTGTGGGCTGTCGAGGAAGGGGCGTCAGGGAAGAGGAGGGTTCTGGTTACTTTTCCCCTTCAAAATCCCACTGGGAGAGGCAGAGCTTATAGGGTCTGCCCCAGGCAGCTCACATTAACACTGGCCCCAGTTCACACATACGGCCTTGGGAGCAGCACCCACATTTCCCCCCCAGCAGTGAGGGAATGGGCTGGGATGGGATGTGGCCAGGAGCAGGCAGCAGAACCCCTTGCTGCTAGGTTATCAGGTCAAATCCAGCATTGTAAATGAGGGTGGAAACATGTAAAGGCTAATTGATGCTCCATAGACATCAGGGAGGATCATCTGATAGAGATGCCCCATCCTCCTGGGACAAGTGCTCATCAACGGTCCCAGCAAAGACCACCAGAGAGTTATTGCACAGCCCTGGGAGCTGGAAACAGGCAACACGGAGGTCTGGACCTGCTGGGAGAATTGGAGGCAGGGGAGAAATAAGGAGATTATCTCCCACACCATCACTGCAGGCACATCCAGGCACTCAGATGCTGCTCTGTCAGGCACACAGACTTGGTAAGGGCTGCGCAGCACAAGCACTGGGAGCCCAAATCAGCACCAAATCCAGCTCTTCCAGGCTCCATTCTGTGCCCCAAGGAGAGCGTTAACCTGGTGAGCTGCAGGCGGGGCACTGAAGGGGCACACAGGCAGAGAGGCAGGCTGAGGGGGTGAGAAGATGCAGGACCCAAAGGGCAGCCCAGCCTCGCTGGGGGCTCAGCAGAGCCTCGCAGTTGAGCAGATTTGCAAGGAGCCGGGATCGGTATGGGATGCTGTGAGCAGGATGGCTCCCGGAGAGAACCCCTGACCAGGGGAGCACGCACACAGGGACCTGAGCAGCATGTGCCTCCCTAAGGGTTTTCTCCTCCAGGTCTACAGAAATTAAGCTAAGAGGCAGCAAAGAGAAGGGTCAGGTTCTGCACAGACAACTAGCTAAAAGATAAGAAACAAAAGGGTAGGAATAAACCATCAGCTCTTTGGTTGCAGAGCACTTCAGGTGGAGCAAAGGCCCACAGGTGCAGAGTGGGCACAGAGCACCCAAAAGCAGGGGGAAGCGGTGGCTGGGCAAAGGTGATACCAAATAGTCTAGGGCAGTCAAAGCCAAAAAGAGCTCCAAGAGCTCACGGTGCGGAGCTATCAAGCAGCAGAGGTAATGCAATGCCAAGAAGTGTGAAGTTGTGCCCAGGGGAAACCACCCAGCACAGGCTCAGACTGAAAAGCAGCAAGTCAAGTGGCAAGAATTGCCAGGAAAGGATTAGAAAACAAGACAAAAATTGTCCTCATGGCTGTCATAGAAGCTCACAGTGCAACTAAAGCCTGAAATCCATCGCCCCAAGATATTGCAGAGATCAAAGGTATAAAGTGTACTCAGAGAGGGTTAGAAAGTTAACGGTGTCTGGGTCTGTGTCGGTGTAACACGGCAGAGACTCAGCTGCCCGTGCAGAAAACTGCTGCCCTGCTGACTTCCAGGAGAAGGGACACCCCGGGTTTGCTTTGTTTCTTTTACCTGCCTTCACCTGCTGAATTGCAGCAGACTCCTCTTAAGCCTGCTCCCAGTACAGCCTGTGTCACCTCCTCCCCCCATGGCCATCCCCAACCCCCCGACACTGGAAGGGGACCACAGCTCGCTCTCTCCCATGACCCCAGAGGAGCTCAGCTCCACAAGAGCCCACAGGATCGGCTCCCTCCCAGCAGCAACCCGTGTCCCCCATCGCCAGTGGCCTTTGTGACACATGGACCCCATGGGAGTTCAAGGTTGAGGAAGGACCCCTACAGCAACCCCTCCAGGGAAAGCCGGGAAGTGAACAAGGCTCTTCCCATTTCATCCCAGCACTCAGTGCAGCACCCAGTAGAAGGGGAGCAAGTCCCTGTGTTGGGCATCACCCCAAGCCCACTAAATGTCTGAGCTTTCATGTCTTCCCATCCTGTTTTCAGTTCTATAACAGGAAAATCAGAGGGTGGCCACACAATGAAAGGCTTGGAAGGAGCACGAATCCGCCACAATGCAGCTCCACAGAGCTCCCTGTGCCATCCCAGGGACAGTGGGCAACTCCACAGACAGACACAGACATCTTGTCTCAGTGCCTGGAGTCGTGCTGGTGCCCAAAACCACGACTGGCTGCTGGGACTCAGGGCACCCCACGCACAATTTACAGATCAGATCTGTGGGACGTGCAGCCCACAAAGCCATAGCAGCCCACTCCAGCAGCCATGGCCCCACTCACCAGCGCCTTAACCATCCCTATCGTACTGCTCCACTACTGCTTTGTAAC